AGTAACCATTTCTGACTTAAGTTATCCAGCTTCTAACAATTCAATGTAGTCACAAGTGCAAGGCCTCCAGCAGAATATTATAGGTCACAGTCGGCCAGCACATGAGTCTTTGGCTTCATCCAACGTGCAGCAGATCAAGGGCCTCGAACTAAAACAGTACTGACAGTGACCTCACTGAGACCCAGCAACTGCAACAGCCCTAACAAGGTATTAGCAGGCACCTCTGTATACCCTCCAACTCTCAGCCTGGGTCCAAAGAAATACAGCTGCGCAGAGTGTTCTTGAGGGCGGAGGGCAAACCTGAAAGCAAAGAGGTGCCCCTGGCTAAGCTCAGGGGTGGAGCTAGAGGGTCAGGAATTCAAAGCAACGTAGGGCCAAAGTTTACAAAGATTTTTTTTACTGGTATTTCCTTTCTCTAACACAGCATTTCAGCATTTGTTTAACAAAGAAATTTCAATTTTAAAAAGATACCAGTGCATGCTTTCCCCATATTTATTTAATAAATACAAATATGGAGTGTGTGCCAACACCCCGCCCCCCCCCCCCAAAAAAAAGAGCACTGCGAACTGCAATAAGGAGCCAATCTTGTTAATAAAATAAAAAATATAGTTAACCATAAACTTAAAGCTCACACAACTTAAACAACCAATAATCTTTACTGTAGTTTGTAATTTTACCACATTGTACATTGCAATCTGTTTGAATTCATTGGGGTTTTTTTAAGTGAGATGGCTATTTTTACGTATTAACATGTTTGCTAGATAGCTAACATTCAACTGTAGGATAAGAATTCAACCTGCAATTACAATTATGTTTTAAATAATCAGAGATGAGATGTTTATAAAAATGAAAAAGTCAATCAATTCACCATTAAAAGAAAGCATAGCAATCTGCAAAGAGACTATTCAATAACACGGATCAAAAGAGTACATAATTGTGCTAAATTCTTTCAGTAAACTGCCACTGTGACAAATGTTCTGTAGTTCGGTCCCCTGCAGCTGTGTTGACCCCAAGCTGTAGTCTTAAATTCTGTGTCAAATACAGGTAGTGTCACATAGCAAATATAGCAGCCACACATCAGATTTTAATAGAATAAGGAGTAATTTTATATAAAAACCATATGAGGAACTGAAATGACATCCTGTAGCCACGGGCAAATCCCTGGATGCTTGAACTCAGCAACAAAAACTACAGTATATATATACCTGTGTCCAGGTGGACAGACAGGATGCTCTTACACAAAGCAAAGTTTTATTCTTTTAAGTATATCTTACCAGCTACATCTTCAAAATTCTGCACTGAATAGCTTTTTCTCTAGTCCTGGTTGGAATGAACCAAGCACAATACGCACGATTTCTTTTGAACTGTACACCTTATTCTTCTTTTAAATATATGATCTCGATATTAACATATTTTGATAACGCTGTTCAGTGGCTCTTAAACATTGCCCAGTGCTATATACAGATATAGTGCTGGTGGTGGCGTTAGTCAGTAACAGTAGCCATCTTTCTTTTTCACCTGAGTAACCTAAACCAATTTCAATGATATTAAGGATCATCAAGCTGTCACAGAACCTGATGAGGGTAAGTTGTATTTACAAAGAAATTGTATCTTGTTTGCACTTGTACAGTACAAACATCTAGCTTTAGCTTTGGCAAATACACTTTGCAAATATAATATGCTGAAAATGTTTGATGTAAAAGTTTGATGGGAGTTGGTTATCGTCTGGTTTTAGAAGGCATACCTTTGTGTTGCTACTCTTCTGATCATTCTTCTTTTAGCAGCAGCCTGTCTGCAAGACAAGTTAAGGGGCAGTGTGCCATTTATGTATTTTCAATATTCCTGCATAACTTTTGCAGAGTTGCAGAAAGCGTTTTTGTCCATTGTGACATATACGGCTTTATGAAGCTCAGTAGAGTAGAGATTTGTGACCTAGGACCCCCTTAACTTACTGTAGAAGGGATCTATAATAACTGGAAGTCCAAATAAGCAAAAGGAAAGCATTTGCTGACTGAAGCAAGACAAAATAGTTTTCAAAGTGTGTTAACTGGTTCTATTCTAGATTTTTATATTTGTTAATGATTTATAGCATAATTTCTTATGTATGTAATTTTGAATATTGAAATGTATATAAACTATAGAAATATACACTTCCTACTCTAAAAGGTATGAGTTTAGTTTGTCCTCTAAGAAAGTGGTATAGCCGTGTGGTTTTGTGTGTGTATGCATGTGAAAGCGCGTATGGCGGTTGTCTCTGTGTGACTGTGGGCGTCTAGAGGAGAGAGAAGCCTCATCTGTTACCAACCCAGCCTGGCCGGCCCGCCGCATGAAGTAGAACGACAGGGTGTCACCGCCGACGACAGTGATGGATGCCCTAAATTCTGTAGGCAACTTGGGCAATTGGACGCATTAACAACAGGCACCTGCTTTCCCCCGTACAAATCTATTAAAAGATAACAGCAATGGCGGCTTCCACACTATTAGTAAATTATAGCTCTGTCTGAGTGTGAGGTAAGTAAGCCTCTTTTTCCCCACCTGCCCCCACCTACCTTCTTCTGCTATAGTTTCTAATTGGCAGTCTCACAGTGCCACCTAGTGGCAACAATTTATAATGTGAAGTAATGTTTGAAACGGAACAACAAAGTCAAAAGAGCAGACTAAGTTTGTCTAAGAATCTGATAATTTCACTGTCATGAAGATAAATTCCACTCTCATTGAGTTCAGTACACTGTAAATAGCCATTTACTGTTTACAAATACAAATTTGTATTTGTTTTAAATGTTATATACCTATGTGGTATGTGACTTTTGTTGCCATGATGCCAGGTCTCTCTTGGAAATGAGATTTTTAATCTCAATGAGATTTTTTACCTGGATAAATAAAGGACTAATAAAAAATAAAAATAATTGGAAATGAATGAAAATAAAGATGTTTTTCACGCTGGCCAAATTTCTATCATTCCAAACTCTTTCATTAAAAATATTTTATTTTCACACTTGCAATCAGAACACAAATCACACGCCCCCAAACATGATGAACATATGGTACAAGTTTAACATGGCAACAGCCCTTAAGGTCAGTTTTGTTTATAGCTGTTCACTGACTGTCATAGTGACTGTAGTGCGACCTTAAATCAGTGAACAGTTCATCTTTGTGAGATAGAGTGTGCATGTGTACGCTCGAGAGTGTGTATGTGTGTCAGGTTACACAAGCAAAGTTGTTCTCCAGCTTTCTTCACGTCTTATGGATTTCTCTTGCAAACTAATTTTCCATAAACAAGCCTTTCTTTGGGCTGACTGGGCCAAATGGCCATTGATTTGGGACAATCTGGCCAATATAAAACCATTACGACCTACTCAAGACCTCCTCTATCAAAACATTAACACGACACCATTATGACAAATATCCGGTTATAGCCAGGTACGACGCATAAACGCGTGTCACATAAATTTGCTTTGGATAAATATTTCTGTGTCTGTGAGGAGGGTATGTGTTTGTGAGTTGGCCAAGAATAAAGGGAAGACATGACCAATAAATACTTTTACAGCAAGCAATTTGTCAGGATGTGTAAATGTCCCCAATTCCCAACAGCACTAGAGTAAAATTTACAGTCACTCTGGAAGTGACAATGCACAAAAAAGGACCACTTTTTACTCTCTCTCATCTCCCTCAGACCACTAAAACCTTCCCATAAATCTCCTCCGGTCCCTCCAGATGTCTCCTGTTGTCAGATATCATGCCTTGACAATGCCTTCCACCATCATTGTCTTGACAGAAATATGATATGTGAAACTGCAATGTCGCATCACTTAACATGATTTAGCCTAAGCTAGCCTGCACCATTTTAATCAATCAAAAATGTCACCTTTTTCCCTGTAATGACGGCAGAGGCAAAAGATCCCTGTGTTGGGGTGATCTATAAGACTTATCTAGGCTACTGATTTATGACCACTGCCAGCTAATGTACTAAAGGAGCCTACTCTCTTCCTGTCATCAGGTTTTCTATCAAATTGGCGAATAAGTAGGCCAGTATTCCCTCATGGGCAAGAAAGAAAAGACACTTCATATAGTATGTAAACTCTACAATTATGGCATTATACATGCTTGTAACCCATCCATACTGCACCATCAGGTAAAACTATTATTAGATGTCCTTAAAAACATGTCCTTCACATGCCAGACTCTGGATAATTGTTGCTACTATTTCAATGAGTTTGCTTGCTTATTCATGCTTTGACTAAACTGTGGCCTTTGTCTGTCATTGCTCATTGTTCTGTAAACATTCCAAAGTCTCAGTGGATACCTGAAGCTTTAAGACAAAGTAATCTGGCTTTTATACTTTGGAAACTTCTAAATACATGCCAGAGGAAAACAGTATATCAAAAATTCAAAGATGCGCTGCAGACTTAAACATGGTAAATATCAGTAACAGCAGCAAAAATTAATGAGCTGTCCAAGTTAACCAGTTGTCTGATTATGCGTTCTTTTTTTAAAGTAAAAAATGGTGTAAATGAGAGTATGCACCTTTTTCTTTTTTAAAGAACAGTAGCTGCAATACCTTTATATTCCTGCATGCATCATCTGCTGCACTGGGTCCTTGAGGTTCAGAGTGCCTTTTGGTTTGTTCTGCTAATTGCATTATTAACATATAACAAAATCAATTTTGGCATTTGTAAACTAATTAAGAATAATATGAGATAAGAATAGCAGCGCAAATAATTTTTTACCAAACACAAACAAACAATATGCACACACACAAAGATGGAGGAAGAAATAAAGTCCAGCTGGTGTTGCTAGAGATTGGTGCAAACATCAAACAAAAGAACCAAACAACATTGTAAATTTATTCTTCGAACACACCGACAAAAAAGGTAAACTATATTTAAGAAAAAATATTATTTTTATTATTTATCCTTTACCCATTGTTGCACTTGCACCACTCAATATCTAGCAAGGCTTCCTGGATTTTATTTATTATACAAGTGGACTGGGAACGCTACCTGTAACCACAACAGAGTGACTGGATCCACATGCAAGCAGCTTTACACTGCCCAGCCCAGATGTTGCAAACTCTTTCAGAAGTGCCTCCTCTGGAGGAATGACCTCTGGCCTGCCGTGCCCAGTTTGTCCAAGCTCCCCACTTCCCCAGCAAAGAAGATCCATGTCCACCTCACACTGCATGTCCTGGGAAACAGACCAACAAAACTTAAACAAGTCAGCTTGGTACTTTTTTTCCATTTATGACTTTACCAGTATTCCTGACACATTTTGTTTCTGTTGCATGTAGGTTAAAATGAGAAAATGAGGTGTACACATAAGTAAACAATTTAAAATACTGTTATCCTTGGTGGGTTTGACATAGTGGCTCATAAACCAGTTTTCCATTTGTTACAGGCTCTAGTTAGTGTGACCCTCCAACACAAACAGAATAAAGCACTGCAAACACCAGCTGAAATCCAAGACAACAATGGAGATGTCATTCACCCTGCCCCTGAAGAAGACTGTCCTTTGGGGGGGGTAGTCGGATAGGACTCCCACAATAGGACCCTGGCTTGTTAGTCAGCTGGCAGGGTAACACACGTTGGGTGAGTGCAAAGGTTAGTTGGATAGCAGTAACTTAAAGTAAGCTCACCAGATATACTCAGTCTTATCCATGATATCAGATTTATCTAGCCTCAGAACTCTAGTCAGAACTACAATAGGGATTCTGACCTTAACAAGTCTGTTTCTAGCAGCTTTTCAGCACTTACACACACACACACACACACACACACATATATATATATATATATATATATATGATCCATCACTAATAGTGTGTATGAAAGAGGAAATATTTTAATAGCTGTTTGTAAGCACTGGTCTTCTAGTCAGCATTGCGCTTGCATAAAACTAATCAGAAGTTCTCAGCCTTATTTGTAATGAACTGTGGATCACCAATATGCTCCTAAACATGTTTGTTTACAGTCTGCCCTCTGTGCTAATTAGAATGTGACCCTGCACACACACGAAAACACAAATGGAAGGTGGGTGTATGTGTACGCATACACATACATACAAACTCCCCACAGCAATATTAACAGCACAATTCCATCCGACTGATATTGGAATTTTTCGAAAGAGCAAACCAATAGATAACCTATTACAAAACTATAAGAGATCAATAGCTAATTTCTTTGCATTGATTACCACTTGGACATTTAACATGCGCCCTGTGGCCACAATGTGTGTTCCACAAGCTTAGATCCCCATTGGCTCTCATGAGTATTAAAATTATCGATTCAGACAGAGGACTAAAAATGTCAAGCTGTTCATTAATCTTAATAAAGACTGGACTTGACCAAGGCACCCTTTCTCCCAATGCAGGGATACAACCTATCCAACTAGGAGGACATGGCAAAGATTAATGAGCTTCTACTGTGGGATGTGATTTAAGTCTTTGCGATTAATATATCAATTCCAAAAGAACGAGTCTTTTATACCAGCGATTATTTTTACCCAGGGTGCACCTAAAGACAACATTTTAAAATTCATATCAACTGCTTAATAGAAGTTCTTTCTTGCAAAATTTCAATGAAACTTCACAAAACAAGCAGTAATGAGGTCTTTGTGAGCTAGGAAGCAGCATCTGCCATTATGCTACAGATGGTCCTGTGCGGTCCATAATACACCATTTTTATCAGCACTGCCTGACAACTAGTTTCATCTCTCTCTCGTAGATGACTGTCAAAGCATTCGGGGCTGTCTTTAGCTTAATGAGGGCCCTAAGCAGGATATAATTTGCTCACTTTTTTCACTTTTAATTACTTTAATATTTCTGCCACACTTACACTCATATGTTTCCTGTCTTGATTTGCTACATTCATATCCGCTAATCAGAGAGGTATCACATTATTCTGAAGCAAAAGCACTTTGAAACTGGCTCTTTTGCATGCTCACATTAATATATCCTGTTACTAAAAGACTAAAAGTGGTATTTTGATGGAGATTGTATTATAAATATTGCAGGACTTTACAATTAAGATAAATCTAACATCCTAATCCATACACAGAAATCTAGAAATCACAATGGCACAGAGATATACATTCTGCTAAATCACAGTGAGCATTTATTAAACATGTCCTCATTCCTTCCATTTTTCATGATGTAGAACTTACTTGGCTTTGGTTTTTCATGCAGGGCCTGCCCTTTTGTATGTTTCAAAGGTCAATCTTAGTTATCTGAATGAACACTCCTGGACTTCAAGCCAATGTCATATAAAAGGGTTTCTGTCTTAAGTTTTACTTTTAATATAAATAAGTAATTCACACAGGTTCACATACATAGTCTCTTCTAAATTTTGGAGAGCTGTAAAATAGGTTCCGTTCTAAGGTTAATTTTGTTTATTAACCAAAAAACAAGAGTTGGATTCCATGTTGCTGCAATCAAAATGCTGTATATTATGAAACAGTAAAAGTAGAAATGCTGGCAGTAACACGTAATTTGGTTGGTAACGACATGCCCAGCAACACCAAACACAAATGGAGAGAAAAAAAGGTGTAGCAGCACTCAGCAACTAGGAACTAACCTGTGGCACTTTTAAAGAGCTTTTCATTTTTTCCATCTTCATTTATCACTCCTCCTTTTCAACTATTCTTTTTCTTTTGGTGGTCTCTAGCATTTCTCACATTGTTGTGATTGTCTGGTTGCTCTGACTTCATTTACCCCTCCTTTCTTCACTGTTTTGACAATATTGCCAGGGTAACAGTCTCCATGACATTTTCTGTTTGCACTGTATCACCCAACTGAGAGTAATCGAAGTAAGGGACTTTTGGTGGTAATTTCAATATTACTAAATAACATTTCTAACTACCTGAAGCACAGTACAAATCCCACAGACAGCAGTGTGAAATCATGTCTTCATCAGAATCAGAATCAGAAACTTTATTGTCATTGTCATGAGAACAACGAAATTAAGAATGGTCCCCGATCATTGCATCATCCCTAGCAATATCAAAATATAAATAAAACAATAAAATTCAATAAATAAAATAGATAGAATACTTAAAATACTAATAAGATATAACAGTAAAACATTCACATACATTCCCACACACATGCTTCAGACCGTGCATAGATTAACACAAGAGTGGCGTGATGGACATTTTTTTGTAGTATTCAGATGTGTTATTGCAGTTGGATAACAGCTGTGTTTGAGTCTATTAGTCCATACCACACAGAGTTTGTGAAATACATCACTGGGGAGTCTTAAAAGGTTTCCCTTTTCTAAATAACTCTCAGATACAGCATGTATAAATAATTTATATTGGCCTACCTGAGTATCCTTGTCTCCATTTCTAGTATCTGCCTTTTGGCTACTTCCTGTTTTACTCTGAAGGTTAGTGTTTGTATCCTGTGTTAACTTTTACTTTCTTTCTCTGTCTTCTCCTAACGGTTGTCGAGAGTCTTAATTTCTCTTTTGCTTGTGCTCTGGTTTCCTTCCTGAATTTAGGACCTCACTCCTAACTCAATATCTGAATGTTTTTACTCATTTTTTTTTTTAAATCTTCATCAACCACAGAATAACCATCAGCTGTGCTTAAAACGTGAAACCAACATTATCAGGTGTTTCTCTTATATGCGTCAACATGAGATTTAGCCTGCTAACTAGACTGACAACACAAGTAGAGGTTATTTAACATTTCTGAACTTTGGATAATGCCTATTAGAAGAAATTAATACCAATAAGTCACACTAGAAGACGTAGCCCTAATGCAACAGCATGTGAACAGCTCAGCTTAAAAAAAAAAGAGTACCAGTGTGTCAAATCAGGATCACCATGAGAGTTAGATACTGACAGAACAGTTATAGAGACAATGAAGGCAACAGTGTTAACAGTAAAGTTTTACATCCATATAGCAGCCATCCCAGGTCTAGTCAGCTGGTTGAAGATTATGTGGGCAAAGAGAAAGCGTGTCTAGTCATCCATTTATGGACAGTAACTGTGAGAAGGATTAGAGTTACTGTAGGTGGTCCAGCCTACATTCAGTCAGTCAACCAAGGGAAAACACTCTCTGACCAGGACAGACAGATTCTATGTTAATTAATGAACTGGGGAGATAACACATAACATGATTTTCTCAGTGAAAACTAGCTAAACATGGCTAACAGTTAATATTAACCATTGCATAATTAGTTACTATGACTCTGTTCAACAAAATAATAAGCTAAACATAGGGCTGTGCTGCAATCACTCTGAAGTGGTCTGGAAGTTCCTGAGACACAAGAAAGCACAGCCATAGATTTTTCAACAGACGCTTGTTTAAAAAGAAAAACAAAAGGTGCCAAAGAGATACAAAAGTCTAAACATAAGTTGAAGATAATAAATATTTATCTAAATATAAATAATTTGGTGATAATCAGGCCAGACTTCACAGTTTTCCTCGCACACAAGTGGACACACTGGCACATTACTGGAAATATTAAGCACAATGAGCACAATCCATATTAGGTAGACTTTGTACTAGGATGTGCATCAGACGTTTGCCTTCTATTCTCTTCTGTCAGGAAAGTGACATAAAAAGAATACTCTGACACACTTGTTTTTGCAATAATGATGCTCCTGTTTTGTTTATAATAACAGATTTTTGTTGTGCTTTTCTAAAATTTGTCCAACTTCAACCTGCGGAAAGTTTAGTCTGCTTGTTTGTTTTTCAGTTTTTTTGCTTTGTTTGTTTCAGTGGAATTATTATGAGTTAGGTGTATGATATGAGTTGGGTTAAAGTAAACGCAATATAACCAGTTGTCAGAATGTATGCCAGCGTCAGAGGATGAGCTAGCTTGTCTCCATCCTGGCAAAGAGAAAGGTTCACATGAGCATCAGTAACCTTTATTTATCTAGCGTCAAGCTGTAGCTGAGAAAGTACTTCTATTTGCTACATTCAATATATATTGTTCTGCCTGTCACAAGATAAACAGTGCTAACGTCTTAGCTTCATTGCCACAGTAATGTGCTACTGCTAGCTATAGTTGACATTAAGTGAACCATTTAGCTTTAACCAACATAAACTTGACATTTCTGTGTTCAGCAGGGAATGTCAATATGCTACGTTGAAAGAACGCACTTACCTAGTTGTTTTTGTTTTGTTTTTTTAAGTTCCAGTTCGATGTTTCCCTTCTTAGCATTTTGGTGACTCAGATTCCCATCATCCCACATTCCAAGAGAGGTTCTGAGCATGTCCATTGTTAGTCCGATTAATCGTAATCTGACCAGTTTAGTTTAGTTTTTGTTTTGTTTGTTTTTTTTTACATCAGATTAGATTTTTTTTTTAAATTAATATTATTATTTTACTTCACATTTCCAAATGAATTTGTAAATTAGGGTTAAAACAGTTCACTTTTTCTCCAGAAGCATTTGTCTGTCATTTATGCCATATACGATATACAATAATTCTGTAAAACTCTGTAAAAACCTATTTTTTTATGCTGAATATATTGCTTTTTTTTTTTGTTTTTTTTTTGCTATTAATGTAATTTGTTAGCATTTAGGGAATTAAGGAACAGGCTGCTTGCATTGTAGATATAACCTTTATAGAAAGTGGCTGTGTGAAAAGGGTAAGTGCAGAAATTTGGATGCTTGAATTTACCTTGAGTCACTGAGTATATAGCCTATTTTGCTGTCCCTGGGGATAACATAAAACGTGGTTACTATTACAGTTATATATGAAGGCAATTTACTCAGTGTACAAGAATATAACAAATATCAATTTGGGACTTATATCATTTATATAATGCAGATTTTGCAGTGAGAATGGGTATAGTGAATACACAAATTGCACTAAGGAACAGTCGTCTCCCCCTCCCCCCACCCACCAAAAAAAAAAAAAACTTTCTTGATGATATCATTTATATGATATAAATGATAAATGATGTGGTTCTTATTCTTTTTCTGCTGCTCCCTTTAGGGGTTGTCACAGCAGATCATCTCCCCCTGTCACATACTCTTCCTAGCATCCTTCTCTGTTACGTCAGCCTTCTACATATCCTCCGTTAAAGCATCCGTGAATCTTCCCCATGGTCTTCTGCCCGGCAGCTCCATATTCAACTTTTCTTGACCAGTATAACCACTGTTCCTCCCCTCCACATGTCCATGCCCTACCAGTGACGCCTCTCTAACTTTGAATCAAAATGCTCAACCTGAACTGTCTCTCTGATTAACTCATTTGTAATCTTGTCTTTCGTGGTCACTCCCAATGAAAATCTTAATATTTTCAATTCTGCCAACTCTGCCTTGGCCTCCTGTTTTTCTGTGAGTACTACCGTCTCCAAAACACATATTATGGCAGGTCTTGCTACCAATTTGTAAATCTTCCCTATTGTTTTGTGCTATTCTTATTTTGCAAATCACTAGCGAGAATAGTCTCCACCCACTAAACCCTGCCTTCCTTCTCTTGTTCTTTTGCTTATTTAAAGGTATTTAAACTCACCTGCCTTCACTACCTCTGCGCCTTGCAGCTTTACTGTTACACCCATCTCACTCTCATTCACACACATGTATTTTGGCTTCTACTGACTTTCATTTGGCTTCTCCCCAGAGCATACCTCCACCCCTCCAGGTTCTCTTCCGCCTGCTCCTTATTCTCACTGCTGATCACAATCTCTTCTGTAAAGATAAGGCTAACCTAATCTGTTAACCTGTCCATCACCATTGCAAACAAAAAGGGGTTTAGAGCAGAAGCATGATGTAATCCCACCCCACATCCTGAACCCATTGGTCACACCTACTGCACACCTCACCACTTTCCTGCTGTCCTCATACATGTCCTGTACCACCCTCATATTCCTTTCTGCCATGTCTGACTTTCTAATGCAGTAGTTGTATGTTTTCTCTAGATCTACAAACACACTGAGCATTTCCTTCCTTTAATTTCCCTTGGGATTAATAAAATATTCTGATTCAGATTCTGAAGTATTCTTGCTCTATTTCCTCTGTCCACCAGATATACCAGAATACCATCTGATGCTGCCTAGCTACATTGTCCCCTGACACAAACTTGCAGCCTCTTATCTATTTCGGATTGCATCTTCTGGATAAGATATAGTCCACCTCTATGCATCTTCCTCTACTCTTACACATCACCCTATGTTTCTCCTTCTTCTTAAAGCATGAATTTACCACAGCCATTCCCATACAATACCTAGGGAATGCACACTGACAACATTCAACATCATGCCTTCGATTTCCAACATCAAACTTATGATCAACACTTCACACCGACAACACTATTCACATGGTCTTCCAAGATTACCTCTACTCCCTTTTCTCTTTCTCCCTCACATATTTTCTCAATCACCTCTTCCTTTGTCTTTGGCCAACACAGTTTCTAATAACACCCTGTTGGAAAACAGCACCAGAGGTGGTTGTTAACCCCAACCAATTTGGTATGGAAATCTCATCCTTTATGAGCTACATGTTTCATTTGGCTAAGATTTTACATTGCATGCCTTTTCTGACGCAATCATCCCCATTTATCTCTGCTGACCACCCAGGTCCCTAATGGTGGGTGAGGCCCTGTCAAGCCTGGAATTAAACATTTGTTCTAGTTTACAACTTTTTAAAGTAATTAAAGTCTAAATTAAATTGTCTGAAGCATTGGTTG